CTAATTTTACTCATCACTGTATCTCCAGTGTCTAGTTCCAGAGCTGGAAGATAGTAGCTGCTTAATACTTTATAGTGAATGAAGGAAAATTTGGTAAGAAAGTTAAGAAAACAGCATTGTTACAGTGTGGTGGGTGGAAGTAGGACCTACACCAATGGTTCTCAAACTTGAGTGTGGGTGAGAATTACCTGGAGGGTTTGTCAAAACACAAGAATGTTGGACCCCATCCCGGTTTCCTGATTCAGTAGGTCTGGGGTGGTGCTGGAAATAGTGTATTTCTGACAAGTTCTCAAGTGAAGCCACTGCTGCTGTTGATTGAGGATTGCATTTTGATCTCTACCTAGTAAGGAAAGAAGGCTGCAGTGGTAGGGGTAGATCAGAGTGACTTTCAGGTAAAAAGAAAAGTGGAGTGGGCAGCATGGGATTGGGAAGTCTCACAGTCTCTCACAGGGAATAATCAGAATGAGAGGTTTTTGAATTTAATATTAAAGACAAAAGAACTTTCTAAATGTTGACAAGATTCAGGGAGTAGGTATGAGAATAGATGGTGAAGTGGCCTGTAGATGAAGGAAGGTGTGGTTTGGGGAGGTCAAAGACCTGAAGATTAAAAAAAATTGTGTGAAAAAAATACAATTCTGAAAAATGAAAAAATGGAAGATGTTAAGTGAAAAGGACTATACAAAATGGAATGTGTTATGTTATTCCTATTTTATCAAAGAGGCACATGAAAAAGACTGAAAGTATCCATGGCATTGTTTATAATACCTATGAGTGAGTTTTATTCCTTTTCACTTTTCTAAAATTTCACAATTCTCTCCGTGATCATCTTTTCTTTTCATGATTAGGGAAAAGCTTTTCTTATTTTGAGTTTCCTCGGCCTTGGACATTTCCATCTGAATGAATTAATTTAATTATCTCTTGTCTTGTCCCTAAGTCAGACTTATTTCTATTTGACATCTTAATTTGTGCTGTTCTCATTGCTCATTGCTGTTAAGTTCATTCTGACTCATTGTGTGTCAAAGTAGAACTGTACTCCTTAGAGTTTTCAAGGCTATGACCTGTAGGTAGCAGATCGCCAAGCCTTTCTTCCAAGGCACCTCTGAGTGGGTCTGAACCAACAACCTTCTGTCTAGTAGTCTGGTGCTGTTTGTGCCACTATAAAACTCAACAAAATTAAAACAACCAACACCATAAACTAAACATGAAAGGAAAGGAACAAAGAACCTCTAGACAAAAATAATTTAGTTGACTGACACAAACAAGAAAGTATTATAGGATTGCTCTTACAATCATTCCATATATTTGAAGGTTGTGAAGACCCACCTGGAGGGACAAGACTGTTTAACGCTCTGGGATCATGGACTGGTCAGATAGGAAATGAATTATCAATTCTTACCCCTGCTTTCCTGTTTCTTTTCATGGGGTTCAGGCATATACTGAACATCATTCCCAACTTTCCTTTTCTCGTTTGTACTCATACTTACTTACTCCTCTTTGAACTAGTAATTTTTTTTCCCCAAATAATATCATTCCAAAAAGTTAACAAAAAGTTATTCTTTCTATCGTTTAATTTTTAGAATTATTTTTTTAAAACTTAAGAACCTAAGCCCTTTTCATAACAAGGTTTATTTTGGACATAAATTCAAAGTTTTAAACAATAACTACAGATAAACCTTTAGAACATAAACCATTTTATCAAAAAGGGCACTTATGCAATAAAAAAAAATTCTGTGTGTGGTAATGTCTACCAACTGCCAATAAGAATTTCTTGCTCATGCTCTGAAGGAATGAGATAATATAGAACTTCAGTCTATGTGCCTATTTCATTTCAAATATGAACAATTCTAAATCTCTTACAAGGACTTGTAACTCTTCACCTGAAGAAATGTAGAAGAAATGAAATGATTAACTAATCATTCTTAGATTTAATCATGTGTGGTTTCAATATCAGAAATATGAATATACACAACTTTTGATTCTATACAAATCTATTATTATCAAATAAAATAATTAAACTGTGTATAACTGCAGCAAAATATAGGGGACATACTGAATTGAAATTATTACCACAAACACTGAGAAAATCAGGAAAGAATAGAATCTTGGCAGTTCAATACACTGACCACTTACCAATTTGCAGTTATTTTCTCCAAAGAGAAAGATAGTAATGTGCAAGTCTTGGTGTCTCAGAGAGTGTAATTGGAATAGGAAATACTAGATTAACAGCAGCTGAACTCTCCAGTAGTTGATGAGATCCAGGGAGAATGGATGGTTGAAGTGGCCTGTGGATGAAAGTATGATATGAAAGAGGTCAAAGACCTGACGATTAAAAAACATCACATGAAAAAGTACAATTTTGAAAGGAAAACTTTTTGATAATAAAGTGTGAATTAACCCACCCATTCCAGAGACTAGGTAGGAAATGGAGATCCTGAATGATCTGGGAAAGTAAGGCAATAAATGACAGAGTGAAATCAGAAACTAGTTTTCCTAATTGCAAGCCCCGTATTTCTTTTTTTAGACTGTATTATCTGTGCTGTCAAAGGCAAACCATGTCACTCAAAGCCTATCCCATTCTAGGTATAGGTTGTATGAATGTTTCCTTTGTGGTCTTTTGGCAAAAGACACATGTTATTTAAGAAATGCCAACTGCTGATTATTAATGACAAAATACTTGTAACATGTTCCTTATGGATTTGAGTTGGCCTTGATTTATTCATGTTCTAAGGTAGTAGGAGAAATTACTGATAATACGAGGAAAGAGGACTTAGAAATCTTGTCTACCATCTTGGTGGGGAAACTAAGTCCCAAAGAGATTTGTCTAGGCAGTCATATGGTGAATTTGTGAGAATTTACTAACTTCCAGTCTAGTGGTATTTTTACTACATGGCACTACCTCAGCTGATCAGTATTCTAATGCCATAGTGTAGAGGGGATGTTCGTGGGACTGAGTCTTGATCAGTGTTATCAATGTGGGGAGTTTGTGTGCCATTTTATCCCTCACTTTCATTTTGTTGTCTGAGGTTTTGGGTAGTGGGGATGATCAGAAAAAAATAGTAAGTGGCAAAAGTGATTTTTAAATTCTTTTTGGGAGAATGAGTAAAATAAGGCTAGCTAGAGTTCAGAATTGTTGGCATTTTTTTTCCACGGAGAGGACACCAAGAAAGATATACAGGAGGGATGGCTGAGGAAGTTGATATCCTTTGAGTGATGATAGGGCCTCTGCTAGGCACTTTTACATGGTTACTTCATTCCTCTTAACCCTTTAGGTTAAGGGAAGTATACCTTTTATTATCTGTGAAGAAATTAAAGCTCTATAGATAACTTCTGCAATATATTTCAGTTATACAACTGGTCTCTGGTAGAGCCAGATCTAACCAAAGTCTGTCTGGCTGTGAAGTCTTCGTACTTTTACTTCTACCTGAGGTATGTGTAAGGTGAACCAATAAAAGTAACAACTGTAGTGCAATACTAATAGAGTGATAGTCAGCATAGAACTTTACACATGTGATCTTTTTCAACAGGATTAAGTGAGCACATGAATAGGGCTGGTAGGGAGTTTCTGTACTCTTCATTAATGAAACAGGAGAAAGAATGAGGAAATATATTTAAGATTTTCTTTGGCTTACTTGGTTCTTTTGAAAAATAATCGAAAGACTCAATTAGTTTTGATTTGCATTTATCAGATTATTCTTGATGTGGGTAGATAGATTGATGTGTGATTATGTGAAATCAAACCTAATATATTTGGAATTCTTTTAGCAGATATGCCTTTTGGGTTTGATATTCAATATTGTAATTTGTGATCACTGTTTCTATTTACTGAACGAGAGTGAGGGTCTTTTCCCCTTTGAAACTGAACATCATATATACCCTTATGTCTTTAGGTGGCCCATGAAAGAGGTATGTTTACCTTTGTGCGAAAAAGTAAGTTTGTATTTTGTGGAAAATCATTAGCTTCTCATTTTTACACATAAACACTCTAAAAATGATCTTTGACGACTAATTTTGTATCAGTCTGCAATTCCAGTATTAGCATTTTCGCCATTTCTCACATTTGAAAGACGTCCAGTTCCGCAGTACTGTGTAACATCAAGGTATTCAATTTATAAATATCCACCATCTTCTTCTTTTTCTTATCACTGTCTTCTAATGGATTAATAATTATTTGCAGATTTCGGTTTGAAACAAACTTACATAAAGATGTATTCAGACTCAAGAATTGATCCTCCTCTGTATTTAAAAATATCATTCTAACCCACAACTCCTTAAAACTGATACTATAAAACAAAAGAACTTATTTTGCATTCAGCTTAAACACTTCACGCCCAAATTACACACCTTAATAGCTAGCTATATTTTATCTACATAAATTAAAACTAATTAGAAACAATCCATTTCTAGGTTTAGCGATGTGAGGCAAGAATTGGAACTGAACAGTTTGATGGGTACCATTTTTAAAAATCGACCTCGTGTGAAGACACCTCAAGAATTTCTAGGCTCACAAGAGAAAAGAAAAAGATTTTAAGATCTGAATAGTGCCGCTCTTTGCAAGCCGCCCTGGACGCATTCCCGCGCCTTCGCAGGCCGAGCCGGTTGCGGCGAGGGCCTCGAAGAGTTAACGAGGGACTGAGACCCCCGCGCCGTGGGCTCCCCGAGCGCTCCCTCCGCCCTCCCGTCCCCACCCTCTCGTTTTGGCAAGGGATTAAAGTGCTCCCCCCTGTGGCAGCAGTGACCCAGAAATGAGTTTGATTCACACAGTCCTTCCACCATAACAAGCCAAACGTCCGTCCGAGAGTGCCTCCGTGCGCGAGTACCGGGTGTGTGCGCGCCGGCGAGAGCAGGGGCCCGCCCGGCTCCCCGCCCGCCGAGGCCCGAACTCATGCGGCGCGGAGCGAGCGAGCGGCGCGGAGCCCAGCGGCGCCTCGGCCGAGCCCCTCCGCAGCAGGTACGCGCGCGGACCGCGGGGGGCGCCCGGGGAGAGGGGGGGACGGCGCTCTGCGCGTGTGTCCGCGCGTGTCCGCGTGTGGGTCCGTGTGCGCGTCCCGATTCCGCCGCGGCGGCGGCTGCGGCGGCTGCAGGACGAGCCGAGCAGGCTCAGCCATATTTGATGGTTTTGTTGCTTTGCTCGGGAGTTCTCGGGAGTAATTTAATGCCGAAGGTCGCTGCCTAGTGGAAATAATATAGTACGTCATTAATATGGCGCCAAAAGATTGGGTTCTCGATTTGTAGCGAGGAGGGAGGGAGGCAGCCGCCCAGCACAGCGTTACTATCCCAACAGTAACTTGGGCATTGCTGGGGCGGGGGCCGGAGAGGAGGAGATGATGATTTTTGGATCCTGAGAATTGATCTGTGTTGGATCAGTAAGTTTTATTATTGTTATATATATTTTTTCAGTTTTGGGGGGCTGAAGACTTGAGTTTTTTTCTTCTTGTGGATTTACGAAGAACATGCGGTTTTCAGGTGAATCATCAATTAAACGCTTTCAAGAGCGGAAACCCAGTTTAGTTGGCTTTAGTTTATAGAATTCCTGAAAAAGCCAAAGTGCATTGGACAGCTTGAAAGTGGAAAGCATAGCAGCAACTTGATAGGCAGATGGCAATGGCAGAACGCAGGTCCGCGTACATATATGAATCCAGAGTATGTGACCATGTGGGGGACATAGAGATGTATGTGTGTGTTTGTGCGTGTGTGTAGGTACATCTGTGTGGGGTGGCCGCAATCCTGGCTTGTCACCGCGTCACCACATGTCCAAAATATTCATTGCATCAATTCAAGGGCAGTGAGCAGAGGGTGGAGGGACAGCTTGGCGAGTAAATTCTTCTAAATTGGGTTTCCACTGATCAGATCTTTTACTTATACCAAGACTGCCTGGAAAGTATAAAACCCTTCATCGGTGAGATTAGGAAGGAGTTGCATAGAGCAAAGTACCGATTAATCATGAACTTAAAACGGATAGCAAATTGCAACCTTTGGCACCATCTGCAAATTGTGGGGGTGGGGTCTTGGTCTTCGGCTCTGCTTTAAATGAACGTGCAGTGTGTTCCCCGCGGCTGCAAGTTGCAAAGCCCTTCAGTGCACGTGTCTTGTGCTTGTGAGTGTATGTTTGTGAGTTGGGGGCTGTTGTTCGGTAGCCATCAGGCTTTCTGGGTTGCTCGGCGCTCGCCTGCAAATGCGGGAGAGGGATGGAATGTGGAATGTTGACCGGGGAACCGATTCCTGTCGGAACGGTCCCATTTGCTGGAGAAATTCGATCCCTTCCACCTCCTTCCCGCTCCCCCCCCCCGCCTTCGGGCAGGAGGCGGGGCCGAGGACGCGGCTGCTGCTCAAAGTGGCGGATCCCGGCGGCGGGAGGCAGGTGCACGGCACCCGCCAGTGGGGGTGCCTCAACTTCCGTGGGCGTTTAAATAGCAGCCTCTCTCCCCTCCCATCGGTAATAGGTGACCTGGCGGTCGAGGGCGGTGGGGGGAAGGGACCGGGGGAGACCCGGGAGCGAGCCTCCGCGGCACGTGGGCAGGTGCTGGGTGGCCCCAGGGCCAACTTTTGTAGCCTGCCTCTGGCATTGGAGGAGTGGCGGCCCCGTGTGGAAATGGGGGCGGGAGGCGACTGCTTCTCTACTGCGACCAGAGCGTCACCTAACGGTCCCAGCAGCGCTGTCGGGGGTGGGGGTAGGGGGCTGCAGGGGCGGGAACGCCCGGCCCGCGGCGCCCGCGCTGAGGGAGCTTCGCACAAAGCCCGCGGCGCGGGGGCGGCCGTCTTGCCCCCGCCCCGGGAACGGCCCGCAGCCCGTCGCCGTCCCCGTGCCCATTCCGGCGGGCGGCCGCAGGCGTTTGTTTGTTGGTTCCGCGCCGCCTTCCTCGCCGGATGGCTTCCTGTGACAGAGGTGATACAGTTTCCAGAACTGTCTAGGGGCGGGAACCGGAGCCGGGCCCGCTTGCCGCCGCCGCCGCTCGCATCTCACAACCGTTTCTCGCCGGCTCCTCCGCCCCAGCCCGAAGGTGCCGCCCGGGAGGGACTCGGGGAGGGGTACGGCGCGGCCGTTTCCAGCGACGCAAGTGGCTTCTGGACGCGAGGGAGCGTTTGATTTGCAACTGGGGCCGAGCGGATTGGTGCAGCTGGCGGCGGCGGGGCGGGAGGAGCAGCGGCGGCGGCGGCGGCGGCGGCGGGGGGTGGCCACTTTCAAATGGAGAGGGCGGCGGCGGGGACGCCGCTGCGGAGGGAGCGGGGCTTGGTTGCGCCACAAGAAGGTGTCATCACTGCATCGGGCTAATTCCGGCGGAGGTGCCGGGAGTTACTTTCCCCTCCTTCCGCGCGCTGTTGTTTCTGTCTTCTCGGGAGGAGGAGAGGAAGGGAGGGGGTGGCGCCGCGCAGAGCCGCGGCCCAGCGCACGCCCTGGCGGCGGCGGGAGCCAAGCAATGCGTTCTGCGGTGCAGGGCGGCGGCCCAGCTCCCCGCCCCGAGCTTTCACCTTGGGGTCCCTCACCCTGGCTTTCTCACTCCCCACCCGGGCCCCCCATCCCAGGTACCCTCATCTTGAGGTTTCCCACCCCGAACTGTTGCGGCCCCGGGCTCCCCCTTTCGGGCGCGCGGGGGCGGCCGCAGTCCTGGCGACCGGTGAATGCAGCGGGCAAACAAAAAAGCGGGCGATTTAAATGTGCCTTCGAAACCCGTTAGGAATGCGTCGTCCCCTGGAGACCGTTTAAAAGCATATTTAGCTAGTTTTCTAGTAAGGACTAGTAAGTAAGGAGGCGGGCACCCGATCCTCTTTAATCCAGTGAAGGGGAATTTAATTTTTTTTTTTTTTTTTTTTTTTTAATGATAGCTCCAGTGAATGATTTAAAAAAGAACTGCATTTTTAGGAAAGTGAGGAAGGAGCTGTGGTTCTCATTCCCATTAATGAGAATGCTTAGGGGAATTTAATTTTTTTTTTTTTTTTTTTTTTTAATGATAGCTCCAGTGAATGATTTAAAAAAGAACTGCATTTTTAGGAAAGTGAGGAAGGAGCTGTGGTTCTCATTCCCATTAATGAGAATGCTTAGGGGAATTTAATTTTTTTTTTTTTTTTTTTTTTTAATGATAGCTCCAGTGAATGATTTAAAAAAGAACTGCATTTTTAGGAAAGTGAGGAAGGAGCTGTGGTTCTCATTCCCATTAATGAGAATGCTTAGGGGGTTCTCTCCCAAAGGTTTTTATTAGGTGAACTATTTTTCCGTTTTAGAAAACCTGCTGTGAAAGGCTAGCTCTCTAGCTACTTTCTAGCTCAAGGCTATTTAATATCTTTCAAAGTTAACGAACTAGTTTTAAGATAAAGCGAAATTATTTTCTGGAAAGCTGACTTAGGTATTGAGTGACCCACCAAGAATGTTTAGAGATTACTATATTAAGTTGTGTTTTATTCAGATCACAATTAGCTATTTCTAGGTGGAGAAAGGAAGGCGTCTACATAACGTACTTAAACTGATTTAACATTTTTGTTACATTATTTTGTTGAAGTGAAGTGGGCAACTTATGTAGGGGAGATCCATTCCTAGGAGATTGATGCAACCCAGAATTTTTATTGCCCCTTTATCTTAGAGATCATAGTCCCATTTAATGTCACTTTTATAAATCATATGACTTTATGATCGTTGGCGTTTTATGATTCGCCTTTAGTTTGCATATTTTTATGTGTGTAACTGACCTGGTATTTTCATTTCAACATCTAAAACAAATGCATTTTTCAGCGATTTAATTATTAAGGTTTCCTTACTTCTCTTTTTATCCCTATGCTAGTAGAGATAAGAGGCAGTTGCCTGAACATGCAGTAGACCTTGAACTTGAGTCCATCTTAAAGATCATAGTTTGCTTTCTAGTAACAAAGGTGGCTGTGGTTGGATTGGTACAGAGACTTAAAGTACATAGATGTTCCTTTAAAAGGAGAAAAAACATTGTTTTCCTCTCCATCACATGACATGTTTAAACCTATAAGCTAGTGTTTTGTTTTATTGGTTCAAGGTTGAAAGAGTAGTTACACAGAAAACAATGAAAAATAAGTGTGCATTTCCATAGGGAGATGTTATATTTTCAGAAACATGAACTGTTGCTTGCCCAGTGGCTTGGGGGAAAATAACTGAAAAGAACTCCGAGGACTTGGTGAAAATAAAAACATGTTTATGTGCCTCACTCCTAATAGGCACTGAGTAAATAATTATTTTAGTGATTTTGAAAAGTATTATAGAAGTGGTAGCACATGTGCATTGTTGTAAACTAGAAAATACTGAGAAGCAAATAAAGTAAAAGTACAAATTTCCACCACTTGATCACCACTGTCACTTTCCAGGTCATTTTTTATGTGTGTGTTTTAATCAAAATGAGACTGTATAGTGTTGGTGGTACAACGGTGAAGTGCTTGGCTGCTAACCAAAAGGTTGGCAGTTGGAACCAACCAGCCACTCCATGAGAAAAAAGAAAAGACATGGTGATCTGTTCCCTTAAAAACTGGGAAACCCTATGGTCAATTCTGCTCTGTCCTATGGGGTCGCTAGAAGTTGGAGTTGACCCTATAGCACATAGCAATGCAGATCTGTAAGGAGCTTTTTTCTTTTTGCTATCTACATTAGTTTTATCGGTTATTGAGACTTACTCACATTTCCCCAGTTAGCCCTAAAAATACAGAGCAGCTTTGTACAAACCACTGTCCAGTGGAGGATCCTGCATTACATCTGATTATCTCCTGTAACAGATTTTAAGTCTTTAGTGGCTTTTGACCAAACATCTCATACTAAGGAAGCAAGCATTTGGAAATAAAATCATAGCTGGATTAAAAGAAAAAAAAAAAAAAAAAAGACCTTGGAAATCAAAATAGTAATTTACTATAATGTGGAAGTCTTAGATTTAGAGATCAACTGTTTGAAATATAAAGAAAAATGTTTGCATGATGTGTTTATCCACAGACTTATTGGAAAAGAATTGTCAAATATTTGTGTTTCAATACTGCTGTGGTTGGAACAGCAAACATCAAGACATCAAACACTGATCAGAAACCCCATCTTTAGGGTTAGATGGGAGGAGGAAGCATAAGAATCTGTCACAATTCTGCTTCCTTCCTTATCTACCTGTTTGTGAAGCTCTTCACTGCCATTTAGTATTATAGAGCACCTGTTAAGGCCATTACAGTTAATGGTATGTCAGAATTTGCATTATAAACTGTTTTACTACAAACTTTGTAAAATAGGCTTCCTCTGGATGTGTGAATTACCACATTGTAAAAATACTAGCCAGTACCTGTCTTGCTCTTTTATGTGGATTGACATTTAAAATTTTGTCTTGTTACAACAGTGAGAGTTATACCAGTTTTAAACATTTTTCCTACCCCTTGTCCAGAC